TTCATATCCATAGACCCATGATTCATCTCTGATTATGACCTTCTTGAGGAAATCTTGTTCATTGGTAGCAGTTTGAATCAAGTCATTAGCCCCTGTAGCATGATGTTCCTTCTGCTCTGGTAGCAGAAGCTGCAGAACAAATCTTGCCATGACATATTTCATGACAAGATCCTCTGCCAAACTCTTGGACACAGTAGTTTTTGGAATCCCCAGATCAGCCGCTAGTTCTCACACTGTCAGTCGCCAATCTTTGTTGATTGCAGTCCTTACATGTTCAACATTCTCAGGTGTTCTGCTTGTTGAAGGCCTTCCAGAACATGGATCACTTTCAACAGATTCTCAACCATCTTTGAAGCATCTGTGCCACACTTTTATTTGTGCTTCACTCATTGCATCATCCCCAAAAGCCTTCTGAATCATCCAAATAGTGTTTGCAGAAGAATGTTCAAGCTTAATGCAAAATTTGATGCAGATTCGTTGCTCTACTTGTTCAGTTATTTTGAATGTGATGGCCACACAATACACATGCTCACTCAAGGGCGTCTACCGCCCTTACTGACTAGTACAATGAAGTCATCATTGTTCATGCATGCTCATTCCAGTTCACTCTCCTTGGCTGCTAGGTTACATCGATGTTGCACAAACTGTTCTCATTATAGTAACAATGGCTAGACATCTTCTGCACAGACCTTTTATCTCTAGGGTGGTCACCTGAACCAGCTAGGCTCCTGCCAGCTCCGTCCCCACCTAGAATGAGGTCACAGGCTTCCAGGAGAGCCTTGGGCCCCTCTCCTGGTTCTGGTCCTTGTGTGCCGCGCTGACTTGACTCTCTCTGGCATCTCTGACCTGGTTCCAGTTTCTTTGTTTTGCATCCGGGTCTTTCCTCTGCCATAACCTTGGCCTCAGCACTTTGGCTTCTCCTTTCTCCTCAAGAAGTCTCAGTTGAAATGCTTTTTTTGGTTCTTGGTCACTTTTTTGCTGCAGTATTTCTAGGCTAGCCAGAGCCCCGGGCTCCCATTTGCAGGGGGATGAGTGTTTAAATAGTGACTGTACCTGCTCTGCTAGTTCTTTGAAAGTGAGCTTTGCGCGGTGCCTTACCTGAGATGTGAGGGAGAAGGACAAGGGCTTCTTCAGCCATCCCCCTGCTGTTGCCCCTGACCCTGGTGTCAGTAGCTCTAGCTTGTGTTGTTAGCCTCTCAAGACCAACTGTGAGGAATGTCCATGCAGTCGGGAGCCTCCCTCCTTCCAGACTGCTCATCTTGGTTCAAGGCATGGCATGATTAAGCCCTGACTCTAATCTTCACCTACCCATGCTAGGAAAGGCATTTTCTACATTTTTCAGGACCCGAGGGAGCCCCAAACAAAGCTATCTTTCTACTATTCATTCTTGATCTTTTCCCCAAAAGTCCCCTCTCTGGACAACCAGACTGTAAGGATAGCACTAATTCCTTTGTATTCCCAGCAGGTCACCTAAGTTAGGACACTGAGGTTGGGGAGCAGAGGAGGAGCCACAGAACAATGCAGAGTGTCAACTTCTATCTGAGGCGAGAAATACTGAGATAGCACCTCACCAGGAGAAGGGGCAGCAGTGAGTGGAGAAGGTAGAAACAGCTCCAAGTAAAGATTAAGACGTTATGAGTAAGCTACAAATGAGAAGCACATAGTTGTTTAAAAAAGGAGGTTCCCTCCCACGTCACAGATCGAGGCAGCAAATCTTTTTTTCCTGCTGTTTCTCATATTTTCTTTTTGTGAACCAAGATCAGTGTGTGTCTTCTTATCAGGGGATCCATCCATCCATCCATCCATCCATCCATCCATCCATCCATCCATCTCCCCACCTTCTTATCTTCCCCCCACACACTACTCACTCACCCACCTATCTATTCATTCTTCCATCCATCCACCATCGTCCATCAAAAATGCATTAAGCACCAATCATATGTCTTGGTTGGTGCTGGATGCCAGTTCTAGAGATAATGTATATATAGAGAGATATATCTAGAAGAGTTAAAAAAAAATCCCTTAAGAAGCTCAGAGTTTGGTGAGTAAATGCATGTATGAACTGACAGTGTGCAGTAGATCATGGCAGAAGGTGCCCAGGGTGATAGATGTCGGGCAGTGGGAAGGCCTATCCATGCCTGGGGAAGAACATTGCTCAAGCCTGTTCCCTTGAACTGAAATGCATTCACCCTTCCCAGCAGACACACTTGTGGGAGGGCTAAGTGCTTTCTTTGGCCTTTGTGAGTCACTTCCTGTTTTTTCCTCTTCATTGAAGACATCTCTGCATTCATACATTAATTAGATACCTTAATTCATTGTAAATTGAAATGCTGAGGGAAAAAGGAAAATACCACTGGGTGTTGGTGTGGGCCACAGCTGGGGTGGTGCTGTCCATGTGTGTGAGTGTGTGTATAGGTGTAGGTGTGTCAAAGTGTCACAAAGTGTCCCACTAAGTTGAATAGCATTGGCTATGAGTGGGTGGTTGGGAGATCCATGCATGTCTTGAGAAGAGAAATCTTCACATCATCAAGGACTCTCAGCTTTGAGTTATCCTTGCAGAAAAAAAAAAAATAAAACCAAGCTAACTCTAAGTGGCTTACATTGTCTTATAAAACATCTTCATTATGGTTTTGTATTCCAGAGGGGAGGTGAACATGTCTAAGATAATTTTGCAGTGGTAGCGGCTTCTGGGAGTTGGGGTGGGTGAGGGGAGGCTGACGAGAGCAGAGAGTAGGTTAGTCTGTTTCCCCAAGGAAATGCTCTTCCAGGGATGGAGGGGTAGGAGACATGGTTCTGTCCCAGTGTTCCCTGTAAGGCAGAGGGTGAATTCCAGGCGGCTGGAATAATTTCTCTCTGCTGTCAGATAAGCACCTGTGTATTGCAGGGCCCTGAAAAAGGTCACCAGGTGCTGACAATGACTGCTTCCCCTTGGCCCGAGGCTCTTGTTTAAGTTGGCAGCAGTCAGCAATCCCAGGTACCCTCCTGCCACCACTGAGATATCTCCTGTTCATCCTCTGTCTACTTCTTACACCTACAACATGGAGAGGTGCCAGGAGCACAGGCCTTGGTGGCATACATTCCTGTGTCCGCTGCAAGTGCACAGGTTAAAAGCAGATAGGACACGGCTGTGCAGGAGTGGTCATGGCACAGGGACACCACCAAAGCGGTCAGCTCTTCTTGAGAGATAGCATGAGTGCCTGGGGGGTCATGATGTCGCAGATGTTTTGATGCCCTGTACCAACTCCCTTGGCCCACCTCTGATTTCATTTGCAGAGGACAGTTCCCTTAAGACAAGCTCTTGTCTGAGGCCCTGTTTTGGGGGTACCCAGTCTATGTGAAGACAGAAATTCCAGGCTGAGAACAAGGCATGGGAATGTTGGGAGTGCAAGGGACATCCTGGGGAGTGGTGGAGGGTAAGACTGGGAGGCAGCAGGGTTTTTTTTCTGAAGCCTAAGGATCTTATTTGATCTTCCCAGGAGTCCTGTGAGGCCAACATGTTCTCCTATTTATATCTGGTGATTTTGTTTTCCTAAAATATTTTTAGCAGACACCTTGCTGCTTAGATGTGCAGAGAATTGTCCCTTTGACCCACTTTGGCTGATGGTTGTTTGTGCACCAGCCACTGTGATGGGCTATACTCCTGGCCGAAGGCTGATGTTACCTTCTCTCACCCCCTCCTCTTCCTCTCTTCCCTTGTTGCTCCATGCCACCCCCTGGGAGGAGGGGGTGGCATGAAGGCATAACACTGGGGAACAGGGCTGCCCCTGCCAAGGCCCCTGAGAAGGCAGGTGTTAGTTTTTGGGCTCATTCAGATCATGGTCAGGGGAGTGAGCGGGGGCCCACCCTTGCACCCCACAGCCTTGGTGCAGCACTTCCCACTGTTATTCCAGTGTCTCTCTCGCAGACTTGCTCTCAGGATCTCTGAGATGGTTAAGTCTCCTCTAGGGCCCAAATCTACTGTGGACAGCTAAGCAGAGGGTAAGTTCTCAGATGCACATAGTTGCAAATCCCAAAAGCGTCCCCTGGCTAGCAATGACGCCACTGCCAGCAGGCTCTGTGGTGTCTGAATTGCCATCCTCACAAGCTGCCACAGTTCACTCAGGCCACTATCCTCCCCAGGCCCAGCCAGGGACCAGTGCAGTTCTTCTAAGGCACAAATATGATTTCTTGGCATAGATCCTCCAATGGAGCCCTTCTCCCTAAAGTCCCCAATGTTGTTACTACTTAGCATGGCCGATGAGGCTCAGTGTGGCTCAGTTCCTGCCTCCCTCTTGATCCCTCTCCCTTCGTACCCTATCCATTGATTCAAACACCTTGAACTGTTTTCTTAACCAGGGGTTGGCTCCCAGGCCCACAGGCCAAATCCAGCCCACTGCCTGTTTTTGTGAATAAAATTTTATTGGTACATCATTTGTTTATGTATCTTCTTTGGCAGCTTTATGCTATAACATTAGGGTTGAGCAGGTCCAAGGAGACTGTAAGCCCTACAAAGCCTAAAATCTTTACCTTTGGTACTTTACAGAATATTCTGGCAGACCATGCCCTACCTGGCCCTATTCCTTTGCACAGTCATGCCTTTGAGTAATGCTGTGCCCTCCCTATTAACTTCCCCACCTTTTATCCTACTAATTCTTCTAGACTAAGCTTTCTGCCCATGCTTCTCTCCTTCCTTTGCTACCTGAGCAGGATGTCCCACTCCAGTCTCACACAGAGCTTGCATGCAAGACTCAAATCGTGGCACTGATCAATCTGGTTCTCCTGTTGATGTTCAGATCCACCCCCAAGTTAAGTTCCTAAAGCAGGGCTAGGTCTTACTCTATTCAGCTCCTACCTGGGGTTTTGAATGCACACCTGGAAGGCAGGTGATCACTGCATAGATGGTGAGTGCCACTTCTTAGGTTTACCATCCTGAGTCACACCAGTCATCTCCTAGGGTGGTTTCTTCCCCTCTCTCTGGAAATGCACAAGTGGAAAAGGTTTCACCACCTTTGTCTTTGCAGATCTCCAACCTCTACCTGTATGACAGTGTTCTGATGCTGGCCAACGCCTTCCACAGGAAGCTGGAGGACCGGAAGTGGCATAGCATGGCAAGCCTCAACTGCATCCGCAAGTCCACCAAGCCATGGAATGGAGGGAGGTCCATGCTGGACACAATCAAAAAGGTGTGTGGGAGGGGGCACCCTCCTGGGCCAAGGCCAAAGACAGACCCCTTCTTGCACCCCCCTCCTCACCTCTGTCCCTTGCAGCAGGTGTCCTGGATGGAGCACTTTCTGTGGTTGGCCTGGCAGGCCCCTCCCAGGTTCCTCTCTTGTCCCACTCTCTTGCCACTCTTCCTTTCCCAGTGTTTGAGGGAGGAGTGAGCCAGGGCTTATGCCTATGTGTTATTATGATTGTTTTTGTTTTCATATATGCAGACTGGACTTCAGAGAGGTTAAGTAACTTGCCCAAGGTAACAAGTACAGTAGTTCCCCCCCCCCCCCTTATCCATGATTTCACTTTTAGTGGTTTCAGTTACCCATGGTCAACCATGGTTGAAAAGTATTAAATGGAAAATTCCAGAAATAAATAATTCATAAGTTTTAAGTTGCATACCATTCTGAGTACCTGCTTCATCTCATTACATTGGTATTGTATCATCTAGCGTCATCACAAGAAGAAGAAAGCTACATGCAGTACAATAAAATATTTAGGGAGAGAGAGACCACATTTATATAACTTTTATTGCAGTATATTGTTAATATTGTTCTATTTTATTATTAGTTATTATTGTTAATCTCTTACTGTGCCTAATTTATAAATTAAACTTTATCATAGGTAGTTTATGTACAAGAAAAAAACATAGTATATATAGAGTTTGGTACCACCCATGGTTTTGGGCACCTACTGGGGGTCTTGGAATATATACCCTATGGATAAGGGGGAACTACTGCAAGTGAAAAAAATGGAAGCAACTGCCTAGTTCATGTCTGCCACTGTTTATGAGAGAGACTGTCTCAGTTGGCAGGGGGTGTGCTCATCAGCCAAGACCTTGGCTTCTTGGGTGTGAACATGCATGTGCATGTGGTGTGTTCATCTGGGTGTGTGTGCATGAATGTGTGTATGCAGGCATTCTGCACTTGTGATGTGTCCCGTGACATGCTAAAGCATGGCACCAAGTTAGAAGGCTAGGTTTGAAGTGAATTGGGTAATCCACAGAAGATATGTTAGAGTGAATTGGCTTTTAGAGGCTTTAAAAGAGCATTTAAGGAAATCTGCAGTGCTAGGATTTTAGTCTCAATAAATTGTGTGTGATTTCAATAGCTGCAGACATGTTCTGGTACTGGTTTAAGTCTATTGCAGCCCAAGCCAGACCTGGGTGCCTATGGGGCTAGCTCAGTCCCTGGGGCTCTCCTAGCTCACTGACTGTGGGGGTTAAGCCTGGATAAGACCCCTTCCCCAGTCTTGAAGAAAAAAGTGGTCTTATCACAGGTCAGCTCAGCCCCTCTGCCACCTGCTCTTGCAGAGCCCACTGAGCAATGGAGAGAGGCGCTGGTCATACATACCCACCACATCCAGTCTGTGCCAGTCACCATGCTCTGTGCACAGTATCTGCTTTGGTCCTTGCGGGATCTGTGCTATGAATCTAAGTAATCTAGGCTGATGCTGGGAGGTAGGTGGTGACTTGCCTAAAGTGGCAGAGATGGCAAAGCCAGAGCTGGAGCTAGGTTTTAGCCTCCAGGTCTCATGCTTTCTGGCTTGCAGCATCTACCATGTGCCTGACATGGCATTTGTTGACTTGACTTTCTGCTTGGCTGAATCTAAGGTGAGCTCCTGGGGCAGGTTCACAAAAGCTGTCACTCTTTAATCTCACTGCTAGCACTGTGTGTGGGACAGAGCAAGTTCTCTAATCATACTGACTGCATGAATGACAGGTATATGCCTTAGGGACTTTTCCTGTGAGCCATGGCCTGGGAAGTGTTGATCCTGCTCCGAGGCTCTAGGACTACCAGTGACTCTTTTCCCATTACAGCGTGCCCACTACTTTCCCAGACCTTGATTATTCACTCCTTGGTGACCATGTCTTTTTCCTTTCTTGCCTTGGGCTTTCCTCCTCTCCCCTGTCCATAGCTGCTTTACCTTCAATGGTGTTTCCTTCTCCCTGCAGGGCCACATCACAGGCCTCACAGGGGTGATGGAGTTTCGGGAGGATAGCTCAAATCCCTACGTCCAGTTTGAAATCCTCGGCACAACCTACAGCGAGACCTTTGGCAAAGACATGCGCAAGGTAATCCCCAGGGCACCCACCTCCCCTTCCCGCTGTGGTGGCACAGACCCTGTGTTCCAAGCAGTGGTAACCAACATTGACCCCCTCACCCCCACCCCCAGTCTCTGCTGATGTTGCCACGATGCTGGTGCTTATGGGGCAAGGTGGGGAGGAGGCCCAGAGAGTTCCCAAAAGAAAGTTCCAACATGCCGCTGAGTACAGCAGAAGCCTCCAGGGCCAGCCCTGTGGTCTTGGGCAAGGCTGGGAGGGGCAATGTGTTTCTCCAGAGTGGCTGAAATCAGCCCAATGGCAGGGACAGGTATGACTGTGGCTGAGGCAAGAGACAGAGGCTACAGCCAGTGAGTGTTCTCTAGATCCAAGAGTGAGACAGGGCCACGAGTAGACAAGTGACACAGGAGGAGGGGGAGAAGTGGGGAGTGCTGGGGCCTGCTGGAGAGAGGAGAGAGAGAGATACATGGGCTTTATCACTCAGGGTGGGCTTTGGCTGTTTTATGGTCCTCCTGCAAGTGGCAGGCCTGGGAGCTTTTCTAGTGATAAAATCCCTTCTCTTAGGAGGGATTTTAAGATTGAGGACTGGAGGCTGGCCATTGCCCAGAGCTGGGATCCCTGAAGTGAAGCCACAGATGGACTTGCTCATGATGTGAAGAGGCCACAGGCTCAGTCTAATCAGGATAGCATGAAAGCATTGATTGGTTGGCATGCACTCAGGTACATACACACACAGTGGTCACACATACACACAGAATCACACTCACACTTCTATACATGTGAAAGAAAGATATCTCTTCTAATGGCAGTGTCCAGGAGACAAAGAGCATAGTGAGCTCTCAGCAGGGCAGGATAAACCCTTGGCAGAGATCCTTCCAGCCTGTATGCTGGCACTGGCTGGGGACAGTTGAGGGGAAGCAAAGGCCTCCATGATTTTGGGGTACTGAGAATCTAGGTGAGGGATTCTCTGGCTGTTTTCCTAGAGAACCAGGTGGAAGGATGCATGTGTGGGGTTGTGGAGGGTGTGAGTGCTGTTGAGCACTTAGGGACTGCCATCAGTTACAACACGGGAGGAGGACTCTTCTTCCAGGGAGAGGCTGAGAAGACTGAGCATCATGTGTGATGTGGGTAGGGGGACTTTCAGCCCATGCTGTGATAGAAGGTAAAGTCATGGGTTGGTCATAACAATAATGGAAGTTTCAATAATTGGTTGATGTGCAACGGTGCTACATATGGCTTGATGGCATTTTGGAGCTCAGAGGTTTGTTTGTGGTATCATAGAGGGGGTGGGTGACTGGTGTGATACCCTGGTGGGTCAGGGTGTGACCTGAAATATCAAAGGTGCTAGGGATGTCAGTTAGGGATGCCCAAAGCTGTGAGACTTGGTGGAGGGCTGAGGATGGGTGGTCAGCGCTGGTCTGGGATGTTTATGGCCACAATAGCAGTTGACTTGTGTTGGAATTCCTACCAGGTAAGGAGAAAGCAGGACACAGAGCCCTTTCAGTCACTCTGATATAAAAGGAGCTTGTCAAGTGTAGCTGCCTGCAGAAGCGACTGTTCATGTCTGCCACGTTCAAGTACAGCTGCCATGGTACTCGCTTTTAGTCCTCAGTGTTCCTCTGATGTTAATGACAGTCAGGGTCTGTCTGCTGGCTCCTTTGCTACCCAGTCCCCTTCTGTCAGCTCAGCTCTAACACCAAGGTCCCCATAATGGGTGGAGTATTGGCTATGGGGGTTCCTGCCTCATCTTAGGCAGCTGATGGGGGCCATGCTGACCACGCCAGGGGCCTGAGAGAGCTGGAGGCAGTGTCCTCCACTTCCTGCTTCAGGTGTCTGGGACTCCTGTGTTGCCACGGCAACACTCCTCCAATACCCTGAAGCCAATGGGAGCTGGAATCTCTCAGCATAAGGAGCTTCTGAGCAGGAAGCCTGGATGTAATTGAGTTGAAAGAGAAGCTGATTTTCAAGTGAGCTTTATTTTAAAATGTATCCTTTTGTTATTTTAAAATCTGTGCTTAATAACTGCATATCCCAGTTGTTATCTGCCTGCCTGGCAGCTTATCACTGTTAAAGAGAAGTTAGCTGTGAAGCAGGAATGGATTTACCATAGCAAATGTTTGTTATTCAGACCCAGAGTGCATTAAAGCAAGATCTGGGAGGTGTCAGGATGAAGCAAGGAGAGTGCTCTGGGACAGAGTGTGTTACGGCTATCCATCATCATTTAAAGGCAGGGCTGAGCTGGGCTCCTTGGTGGAAGATGGGGCTGTGAGAGATAAGGCTAGGGAATTGGGGTGGCATAAAAATAAAGTTGGGGTGGGCAGCAGATTTGAGGATAGAGTTAGGGTCCTGAGGCACAGAGAGGCTGTGCAAAGATCAGTCATTCTAAGGAGGCAGGGGCACTCTGAGGAGCTCCCTCAACTGCACGTCTGGTCACTCCCAGTGCAGAGCACTTAGAGCAACCAGCAGGGCGGATTGCTAGATGCTGTCATGTTGGAGCAGGGCCAGGGGATCCCGGCAAAAATCACGTGTATCTTAATATATATATGTATATATCCTAATATATTATTCATCTATCATCTATCTGTGTCTGTCAGTCTATCTACATACATAATTTAAAAATAACTACAGCAAACAAACAAATACAAACACAAAAACTCAAATCAAGTAGTTTCTTTAAGATTTAAACCAAGAGTGCTTATTTGAGGGGATGCAAATGGATGCTTTTTCAAAGTAAATACTCTGGAGGGAGATCTCAGGGAGGGTGAGTCACCCAGATGTTTTAGATTAAGTGGAACCAAGAGACGGTAATTACTCAGTCCTTTCAGAGGATGGAAGGAGTGGGTGATCACCTTTCACTGCAGGGTGCTGGACAAATACTAATGAAATTATCTCATTCAGGAAATGTGTTCTTGTTGAAGGAGTGCTGGATAGCAAAATCAAAGGTCTGTGTCAGCAGCTTGCTGTGTAACTCTGGGCAAAACATTAATCATGTCTGTGTTCTGCTTGGAGCTGCCCAGCAAGGGAGATCTCCAAGCAACCCCGCCAGGGGCAGGTTTTGCTGGAAAGTCCAGTCCAGCTCCCACAGGATTAGACCTGACATCCATCCTGGGGGTACATGCTTGTTCCTTTTGGAAACTTGCAGATTTCTATTCAGCTTTCTCTTTGTTCAGACAGAAATCTCCAAAGGGGGTCCATGCAAATGTCCTTACCTTGGGGCATGAGCTGGGACCGGATTGTTGGAGGGCCCAATCTAGGAAAGTTTCCAATGGTTGAAGCATGGCTTAGGACAAGACAAGAGGAAGCGGAGCAGGGACAATGGACCATGTACTGTGAACAAAGGCACCTCATATGTATGTCCTGTCACTATCTTGGGAACCTTTGCATTATTCCTGGCTCTGCCCCCTATCCCCAACCTTTGCACTCACTTCCCTTCAATGAGTCTTTATTTCCTCAGATGGAGGATGCAGATGTTAGGAATCTCCTGGTTGAATAGAGGGGTGAGTGTAATGACCCTGCTGCAGTACTTGGCAGTGAGAACTCTCCTGTGTGGCCTGGAACATTAGCTTGGGGCAGATGGGGCTTCCTTCTTGAGCATTCTACCCCAGACCCCACAAGCTCAGGGAGGCACAGGCAGGCTGAGGTCTGGCCTTCTGCATCAGAGTGCACTGGACTGCAGCTCCCCACCATACCATGTGCCCACACCTCAGGCCAAGGAAAGGAGGAGAGGTCTGTGAGCCTGGGCGGTGCCCAGCCCTGCTTCTGCCTTGGAGCAGATGTCCACTCCATGTAAAGACCACGGACTGAGAGGGACCTGGGAGCTTCACCTCTGATAAGATTCTATTTTTAGGACTGTTTTGATGCAATTAATGGGAGAAGGAAAACACAGTTGTCTTTTTTCCCTTAAGCATGACTTGCCTGGAGTATAGCACCAGCTACAGCCCCGCAGAAACGTTTCTTCATGACATCGTTGCTAAAGATGTTTGCCCCTCTCCATCGTATGCTACTGGTGTGGGAGACTCATTCCCCTCTTTCCACTAACACGGGGTCCCTGATGTAGTGAAATCCCGGGAAAATTGCCAGCTTCTTACATGTCCTTTGAATCTTATTTCCCATGGGCACCATCCACCTGATTCACTGGCTCGGTGGAAGACAGCCTGCCTTCTTGGGCAGGAGGGTGCAGAAGTGGGCAGCAGTGTCCAGAAAGCCGGTAGGGCTGCTCTATGAGTTGGCAGTCCAGGACAAAAGATAACCTGACAAGAGAGAACAGGGCTGTATTCTGCTCTTTTCAATAGAATAGAATTGATTTAGGACCAAAAGACTGAGAAAGAAACTTGTTCAGTGGTTTCCAATCCTTTCTGCAGTCCTAGAAAAATCTGTTTCAGCAGAATCTTACTGCAACATGAATATATTATACAGTGGCAGAAGCGGGCATGTGGTGGCTAAAATAGGTGGGGAACTGCAGTTTTGGGTCCTGAGGCTCCCCTGCACAGTCTCCCCTGTCCCCAGTGTAGTCTCCCATGTTCCTAGCATCGCTGTGGTTTTTTGAGCATCTCCACCTGGGAAACTGAGGCCCCAAGGGTAGAAATACTTGATTATGTAGCAGTAACAAGTGTGTGGCTGTGCTGGGCTGGAAGGAAGATATATTGTACTGAAGGGATTTGTGGCACAGGACCCGTAACATCCTTCCTGAACTCCCTCACTCTCCTCAGCTCGCTTTCTACTCCATCCTCCTGCTCCCTCACTCCCAGCCAATATTAGGGCGTCATGGCCCCTTCCCATTGGTCTGGAGCCTTCTTACTTGATGTTTCACCAGTGCCCTTGGGTCAGCCTTCTTGTTCAAGAAATTACCCAGGGAAATGGGAGGGCTTCATTTTCCTATATTAGTTTGACACTTCTGTTTTCTCTGTCAATTTTGATTTTTCATAAAAGCTGGCTTTGCACAGGCATCAATTGCTCCCCTTGATGTCTTGTTCTCTGGAGGGCCTTGTGGCTGCTGATAATTCAGAGAAATA